CCCCAAAACCCCAAAACCCCAAAACCCCAAAACCCCAAAACCCCAAAACCCCTTTTTACTTAAAATCTTAATTTTATTATAAAAATGTCCGCAAAATTTCAAAATTCCAGAACAAATTTCTAAATTTCCTCACTTGTTCTTCAAAACTTTCTAGAAATGCCTTCTGAACCATATTTTGTTTATTTTGAAAGTGCATTTTTGGTCAGATTTCACTGGTGAATTCCTGAAATTGATTCTTAAGAGCGCTTTAAAGAAAATTTGGGCAAAAGTGGGTCAATAAGGAGTTAAGGAGTGTACTAGAGGTTGTGTGAAGGGAGATCAAAGGTAGAAGGGAAGGGGAAAAGAGGGAGTTGATAGGGAAAAATGTAACGGATGGACGGTTTATCTCTTATCGTAATTTAGAACTCACTCCTTTCCTTCAAAAGCTCTATAACCAATTGTACATGAAGTATAAACAACGAGTCCCTTCATAAGACACTAGGCAGAACTAAAATTTTCTACTACCCCCTACATTTACCTCCCTATCCCCACATTCCTTCCATCAAAACCACAACATACCCAATCCCTAATCTTAATCTCTTAATTCCGACCAAAACCAGATCAGTACGAAGGAAATGCTCTACCCATAATCTCCCTCTCCACACACAAAATTTCCCCACTACCTATTCCCATAAATCCCAATTTCCCCGCACAAAACCTCAAATTTCTTCCTAGCACAGTTCAAATTTCCCCTCTTTTCTAAGCTTCCGCTTAATTTCTTCCTGCTGGCTGACGGATGTCTGGTTCTAAGTGTTCTGTTAGAGCAGTGCACTTTTGGGAAGAGGCTTTAGAGCGGAGGGATGGGTCTGTGACTGGGGATTATAATGGGCTTTACAGGGTGGCTCTTAGTTCTTGGTACCACAGCATAGGCTTTCAGTACGTCTTCTTCAATAATAAAGTCTCATTAGAAGATATGAAAATTATAAAATTATATTCACACTTTCTTATGAAAAACATTCCAGTTAACTTTGGTCGATGACGCAATTATCAACTTTTCAACAACTCTAAGCCTCACATTCTAAACCCCAAGCTCTCCAAATTTTGACAGAAAATAAGGTCTCTTTTTGTCAGGAATGACCCTCTTTTCCTTTTAAAATTCCTTTAAAAGCCATTTAAACCCAAGAACTCTAACGTAGGATACTTCTTATCAATAAAAAGATTACGACTGAAAGTCGATAGAGATTGTTTGAGTGCATAGATCCCTAACTCCACCTCTTGGACTCTTAAAATGCACTCAAACTCACTCTCTTCCTATTAAACTCTCTTCTGTGTTCCAGCTTTTAGAGTCCTGATATTCTGCTTGTTTTCATCATGATTCAGCAAGGAGGAATCTCCTTGCTGAGTTTGGATGATGAATAGGTTAACAGAGAAACAGGGTCTAAAGAGGCTGGGTTTAGAAGTAAGAATAGGGGAGATAGCCGACATCGCTTATTCGGTATCGTTGGAAGATGGACCAAAATAGTCATCTTTCCTCAAAGGAAGGCTTTTAGATCTGTTTGTGTCATTTCTTGCATCTGATGATATGACTTCTGTAGACTGAGCTTCTTCCTCCATGTTTTCAGCAGAAATCTCTTCTGTACTAGGAATACTCCTTCTGTTCTCTTCTTGAGAATCATAAAAATTCTTAGAGTCTTCTCTATTCTCTCTTAACTCTTCTTCGCTTATTGCTGGAACAATATTGCCTCTTTCAGAATGCTCTTTTTCAACAGCTTTAGCGTCAAAATACATATAAAATGCTGTTCAACTCTTCTCTTAAATAGTGGGGTTTTGGGGTTTTGGGGTTTTGGGG